CTGTGTGTGCGTGTGTTTTTGTTTGCGTGGGTGCATGCCTGCAATGGTTGATTTGTAGAGTATTTAAGCACTTTATTTGTTGAAGTGCTTCTCAAGTGGTTAGCTCGCTCGTTGGCTGGTTGGTTGAGACAGGTTGGCAGGCTGGCTCGTTGTTCGGTTGGTTTGCTTTTCTTGTTTGTCATAGCCGGTTAGCTGGTTAGTTCTAGTTAGTTCGTTTATTTGTGCCTGTTTGTTTGCTTGTTTCTGCTTGCTTGTCAGCTTGGTTGCTTGCTTGTTTGTTTGTGCTTGCTTGATTGTTTCTATCTGCCTTATTCTTTGCTTGCTTGTTTGCTTGGTTTCTTATCTGTTTAATTTTATCTGGTTCGCTAACATCAGTAATGATGATCATCGAAGGTACAAGTACTACAGACACCAAGATGCGTGATTCTGAGTGATTCTTGAAGTCGGTCAAACTGCAGCAATAGTGTCAGAGACTGTTACTTGCAGTTTAAGAAGGAACTGGAGTAATAGCCATGTTTCTAGGATTGCTACGGCGCGTCATACTTGTGATAATTGTAGCTTGTACCAAACAGCAACAGTCGCAATGAACTGCGAATGAACGTCCACGCAAGGCAAGAAAAGAGAACCCAGCTGCATGCCTCACGCAGCTTCAACAGCCGGTCACCCACCAGCCGCGCCCGGGTCTTTTTCTGGAAAGGGATCACCTTCGAGGTTTGGGGGGTGGATTCAGGATTCGTCGTTTGGGGTCTTTGGGCTTAGGGAACCTAAATTGAACCGAATTGTCTGTCTTGCTGGCTTCGCATGAGACGGAAGGAAAAACTGCATCCGTACATGTGAAGCCACGTCTATATTACCTACTGTACATCCCCAGTTGCTTGAAGCATGTCATGCATGGGGCGTGGGTTTCGATAGCGGGTCCAAAACCCTCGACACTGTCCGTTCCGCGGCCTTCGCCGTGGGTAAAAGTTCGCGCGCTCGCACCGCGGACCCCAGCCCCAAAGTGGGCAAAAAGCTTTTGTTGTCTGAGCTTTGCAGAATCGGAAGGGTCCCTGAAACCTTTGGGAGGAGAAACGAAGAGCCTCATGATCCTGCATGGTCGAACCGCTCACGATGGAACTCCATGGTGTCGGCTCTGCACATGCCCGGTGTTCCCCGCCCCAAGAATGCCTTGTCATCGTCATCGGATGATTTTGCAATGTTCGTGCCGATGTCGAAGGTCGTCTCATCGAATGTATGTGCCGATATCAGACATCGTAAATTGTCTTGTCAGAGAAACTCCGATCCCGATTGTTAATTAACTCTTGTCTTACATTCGCGGCATCGATTGCGAAGGCACCGTGTGCCGAGATGAAACATGTATGCATGAACAATATAAGTATATGGATATATACGTATGGGTACAGAGTATAAACACAGAAATAACGACACTGGTAATGGCAACAGTATCAATGGTAAATGTAACAGCGAAACCACACTTGAGAGAAATGCATACAATGGAAGACACCAAAAACGGAGCCGACCAGAAAGCTGCCAACCATCGAAGAAAGCTGGCAGAAGAGTAAGTGAAAACCACCTGGGGCTCCGCAGCCTCGGCTGTCATCAGGCTCATGATTGCGTCATAGCATTAACATATGTGTCATCTTTTTTCATATGCATCATGATTGTTACGATGGATGATATAAGTGCGTTTTGAGCATGACTATATCTTGCATGAATTCTGTTGTGCGTGACCTGGTGGGACCCTACCAGCACAGCTGCAAAGAGAGATGCTTTTTAAAGTATGGGAATTTGGAGAAGCCAACACAAGGCAACCCCCAAGTGGCTATGGGTCACCGGTTGCCGGAATCCCTGGCTGCCTGGGCCACAAAGTCCATGCCCATGGCCTTGTCCCTGTCGCCTGCCACATAACTGCTCCATGCGTCTGAGGCCTGGATCTTGGGGAGACACGCCACACCATTGACCACAAGCCGAGGACGATGCACGAGGCGAGTGCGTGCAATTGAAAGGTGCGCTCCGGGGCGCACTGTCGGAAAAGCAAAACCAACGTGACAGTAAGCTTTCAGACCGCAGCCTTCTGTGAGAGAGTGTCAGGGTGCTGTCCCGCGTCGCTTCCCCGAAGGGTTCGACGCCGGGTCAGCACTCGCCATGACACTTCACAGAGAAGCTGCAATTTGAGGCTTAAGCTCAAGCAGTGCCGGCAGGCCTTCCTCCTCCTTCTTCAACGGATTCAGGCTAACCTCCGTTCCTGGCAAAAAAAAGGCTTACGTGCCTACTAAAGTGAGTACATCTCACATCGACGGAGCTCACATTGACCAGGCCAGGCGACGGGATTTCTTGAGCTTCATGGTTTGTATGGAGCGGGCTCCCTGTAGCTTCAGTCGCACCTTCACCTGACGCACACCAAAAGAGAGCTCAGCTTCGCCGACTTTTTCGGCCCCCAAGTTGAAGGCCCGGCCTGGACCTCCTCGAGCAGCTTCTCAAAGTGCTTGTACCACTTCCTCGGACGCACCGCCCAGTGGGAACGGACAAAGCGCGAAAGATGAGGGGAGAAAGGCTGCTTCTCGCTTCTTCTTCGTGCTCGGCCAGCGACGCTCGGACGCAATGCGTGGCCAGGAGGATGTCGTAGAGGCCGACCCGATACGCCTGTCTTTTATATAACCCCAAGGGTCCCTTTAAGGGTCGTCCCTTGAGTTAAACAACGAGAGAGAGGGAGCCTTAGCACCCTAAACCCCTAAACTTTAAACAACGAGAGAGGGAGCGCGAAAACCCGCTCAAGCGTCCAAGCAGTGCACCAGGCCGCGCCTCGCACGGGGTCGCCGCATGCAGCGTAGCACCGAAATCCTGAGAGGTGTGTGTGTGTGTATATATACACACACACATATATATATATATATATATTTCACATGGTTCTATATAGTGGTTATGTTCGGTCTCAACCCTGGCCCTAGCAGCCCCAAACACGAGTCCTGCGCGACATGCTCCGGGATCAAAGGATTGACTGGGCCGGCGCTGAAGAGCCTCCGATTCTCCGAGTGGAGAAGCTTCGGGCTTCAGGTTGTTTGCGCTCGGAGTCGCAAAGCTTGAAGCTTGGCTTCGGGAGGCTGCTTGGTGTGCTCGGTGAAACCCCTGGCTCTCTTCAATACCTCGGCCGGGTCCTGGCCTGGAGTTCGGCGAAGACGACTTTTTTTGATGAGACGCTAAACCGACACGCGCCTGGACTAGATTCTCAAGCGCGAGATCCCCCCGAGACAGGTTGATCCAAAAACCCACCAGCATAAGAGTCTAAGGCGGAACCCTTAAAGGAGGGGGGCAACTGCCGAACCCTAAACCCTAAACCCGAACCCAAAATAGCGAGTCTGAGATCCTCGAACCGTGAGCTGCTGCTGCGGGGCATGATATGGCGGCTTCCCATCATGAGGTTCATCGTTCCTGGCAGAGGACCAAGCTGGGCCATGTGGGGCCGGAGACTGAGGTGAGGCCTTGAACAAGTATCCAGTAGTGTGGCCCCTGCCTCACGACATGCGTGATCACACGTGGATACGAACTAATATCTCTCTGGGTGCAAGCTCAAGGAACTTCAGAATGCCAGGGTTCCGGACGACTTGGAGTTAGGCTTGAAGACGTCGCCAGTCGCGAAGTCAAAGCGAATGGCATGCAAAGCCACAGCCCCTGAGAACATCAACATGTCTTCATCTTCTCCACTTCCACTCTCCACCTCTCCGCATCAGGCCCTTTCCACCCCCCCCCTCCCCCCCGCGACTTTGGAAGACAAGAGACGTGCCGCCACGTCCTTGACCTGAGTCGAGGGCTCAGAAAGGTGGACTATCTCGTGCTTCCTCCTGCACTGCAGATGCCAGCTCTGCAACGGAAGGGATTCCAAGAGTAATGAAGGCTGTCTCTTTGTGCACTCCAACTGCCACCAACTGCAGATGACCGAATCTCGGAAACTCAGTGCTTCGAGGGCCAGGTGGCGCTGACATCCAGGGACAGGGTGCACCTTGGAATCCAGAGGCGAGCATGAGCCCTTTTTGCAGAGTGAAAGCCACAGGATGGAATATCCTTGAAACCTATCTGCATCGGAGCGACAGTGGCATGCCTTGTTCCTTGGCTGCTTGATTCAATCGGCAAGCCACCTAGCTTGCATTCCCGTCTCAAGAAAGCTCTTCCCGTAGGTCGTGACTGGGTCACCGGGTTGTGAAGTCCATGTAGGCAAAAGAAGCAATGCAGCTGGCGCTTTCCATGAGTCCGAGTCTCCACCTGATCGCACCTCTCCTGCCGCAGTGCCTCAGAAGCAGGCACAGGTAAACGGACCCTAAGACAGAAAGCTTGAGCCGCCGGAAACCCGCAACGCGAGACTCCCAAACCACTTCCCAAACCTCCGGTTGCGGCGCCTCGAAGCGGGCTCGGGCCTCGGCCGCATCGTCGCCCTGGTGCCCGGCTTGGCTCGTGGAGGGGGGCGGAAGAGGAGGACTTGAGGGACTTGGGGAAAAATCCTCGCGGCGCGTGTAACGTACGCGCAGGCATTTTGTACAGTGCACGCCTGCAAGATCCGAGTGATCAGGTTGGCGGTGATCAGCACCTGAGACGCTAGAGGTCTAGAGCCCAAGAATGGCTCGCAAAGCTGGAGTCTCGAGAAGAGGCCAAGCTGACCGAAAGAGCACTGGACCCATCGGGCTTTGGGCGGCCAAAAAAGAGGAAAGGACTGCGAGGGTTTCGGAGGTCCAGAGCCCTGCGACTCCCTCCCGGCAATTTCCCCCCCTCTCTCGGCTGATAAAATATCATATAATATAATTTATAATAGAATAGAATAGAATATAGTATACTATAATACACTGTGTTGGTGAACTATGCATCCAAAGGCACGGCATCTGCGTTGCTCGTGGCGCCTGGGCGTGGGCGGCGCGATTCGAAGAAAGACGCCGGAAGCCCGGCATCTTCAGCCAAGCTGCGGATCGTCGCTGTTCGCCAGGGGAAAAGGCCGAGGACCGAGACCTCTCCAATCATCGCACCAGGCGTGATCGTTCCGATCAAATCTCCTGGAACAGCTTCCGATTGTCAAGTCTCCCTCTGCAGCTTCCTCGAGCAACAAAAACACAAGTCAAAGCCTCTCCTGACTTCGCGTGGACCTCGCCCTCGCCCTTCAGGAAGATAATCCTTATGTGGCCCCACTGCACTGCTGATGCTACCTCTTGGGCCCACGTCAAAGTCGAACAAAAGTCTTCCGCTCGTCCTAGGTCCTAGACTGTACGCCGAGCTTCATGGAATCTGCCCCGTTGCCAGCTACGCAGACGATTTGGCCACCTGGGCCGCGGGGGCCGCGTGATACAGCAACACCGCTTCAAACATGCCAACTTGGAGAAGAGATGCCGAGATGCCGAGATGCCCTTGTTGAAACTGTTTGGGGGAATGACTAACAGCGCCTTAAAGTGCCTTTGCAAGTTTCCTTATGCTTCCAACATGGTCACTTAGACTTGCCGATGTGCAAAGGAACAAAGACAATAAGTTTATGTCATGCCTGCCTCTAGGACCGCTGGGCAAGATGCAAGACAGTAAGTGGAATCATCATGGTGCCCGTAGTCTTAGCAACACAAGACCAGACCACCCACTGGCAGCATCGCATCGGTCTTTGTCGTGGACAGCGTGCATGCGGCATTATGATAAGCATGCTAGCATCAACCACCAGCTTCCTCCTGGAAATCGCTTTCACCCGGTCAACCGTTTTCTTCCGCATTCGAACTAGAAGAACTCATCACGTCATGGCCAACTCTTAGCAGCGTTCTGTGCTGCTTCCATGGCTTCGCTTTTGGGGGATTTCAGCCTTTGACGCAGCTTTCGAGAGCAAGCGGCTCGTGTAGGTCGCCTGCAGCAGGTGCTCGGCGATCTTTCGAATGATGTGCTCCGGAAAGCCGTTGAAGATGCGACCTCTAGTCCAAGCTGTGCAGAGCGCCTGCGCTCGAACCGGGATGCTTACTGAGGCAAGCGCACTTGTTGAGAGCTGGGATGACTTGCTCTTGTAGCCACTTCTGCCTTCAGCATGGGCATGTGAAGGGTCGCTCGCTTCCCGACAACTGGAGCTCTTCCCGGTCTTCCCGGTGCCCCGGCGCCTCACCCGCTCGACTTCCTTGTTGGCGGACGCGCGCCTCTAGGGTGCACCAGAAGACTCCGCACCGTGGGCGCTACGACTCTCGATGCCTCCATCCTCGTGAGCTCTACAGGGAAGGGCAAGGGAAGGCAGCCGAGGCGCTTCTGGAAGATGGCTTGGAGAGACTCGTACTCATCAGGAAAAGCAGTGATGGCCCTCCGCAGGCGGCAGTGGCGTTGGGACCCACTTCCGTCACAAGGGCAACTGGCTTCGTTTGACAACGGTCATGGCGCTATCGAACACAGCTGGAGTGATGGCATGTGATGGTCATCGCGGTGATCATGGCGATCATGCTCGCATCAACCCTTTCGCTGATTCCCTTCACCCGACAGATGGCTCAGTGGCCTTTGAATGGAGGTCCCGTGCAGCCTCACAGCGCGCACCAGCGTGTCGCGCCAAGCCTTGCGCGGGCATTCCCAGGACATGCGGTGACATGCAACGACGCACTGCGAGAAGTCCGATCTCAGGACATCCCTGTCTCATCGTGTCTCCTTCTTCGCCGAGGCGCGCGAACCGTGGCGCCGCGAGTCGGTGCGATGCCCAGGGCACCGCCTTCCCCCACCACGTCCCCGGGATTCAACCTGAAGCCAGGACTAGAAGGGCTTTTGGAAGCTTCCGGTCCGCTCTTTCGACGCCGTTGCCTTGAGCTTGGGGTTTGGTAGGCTTTACATCACTGCGCAAGGACCCCTCCCACAGCTGCGCCTGCCGAGCTCGTCACCGTACTCTCCTGAGACAGAACGTCGTAGGTATGCACACGGCCTCAAGGAAAATCAGCAAGAGCGGCCTTCGACGATGGCCGCTCCCTGCAGCAAGATGTACCTCGACAACTGAAAAAAGGGCAGCCCAGACTCAAACTTGAGCTCAATAATTCTTGCTCGGACTGCCGCGTTGGGCTAAGACGATGACCTACAGACGGCCTAAAACGAACAAACTCACCTACCTTTCCCCACCTGTGCTCCCAAGTCCCAAGAAGGACTCTTTCTGGGGACTCCTCCGAGTGTTAACCCTGCCAAGTTGCATGATGGCTTCGCCGAGCTTGCAGACCTCCGGGAGCAGCTAAACCCAGAGGCTCTCTCTTCTTTTTTTCAACTTTTTCGCGAGATCCTCGACATCGGGGGTAAAGGCCTCGCCACGCCGGAAGATGTCGTCGCCGGGGCCGAAGTAGACCTCTGGAGGTGATGAAGCGGCCACACACGCAGCGCTTTGGTAATTGTTGGTGTGTGCCGCAGTGCCTGGGATGACGGTGACGTCGGTGATGAAACTGAAGATGCAGATACAGACGCTGGTGATGGTGGCGCTGATGGGGGTGAAGACGGTGATGATGCTGATGATGGTGATGATGATGATTATTGTGATGGTGGTGCTGGTGGTGCTGGTGGTGGTGGTGGTGGTGGTGGTGATGATGGTGGTGGTGATGATGATGATGGTGCTGATGATGATGATGATGATAACGGTGATGATGGGGTGATGAAAAAGACTGGTGCTAATGAAAACGATGACAAGGCAGCAGTATTTCAAAGCTTGCAGCGCTTGTCCTTCCGAACCCTTCTTCGTTGACCGGAACCACTTCTACCTTGCAACCCGCATCGGTGGAGTCTATCTTAAGGCTCCTACATGGTCTTAGAGCTACCTTGGCCTATTGCCACACTTTCATAGTCATTTGCTTCTTGCATCTGTTGTCACCTTGTCTACATACGATCAGAAACCATACTGGGTACGAGCAGCCATGGCAATGCCCACAGTTTACATGCGACAAGCAATGGAACCCAAACGATCGCCAAGATGTGCAACTGGCACAGAACTGTGCTCGTGTGAGCCAGTAGCTAAAGCAATGACACTAGCAAGGCAAGCAAGAACAGTCACACCGTCACACATAGTCAAAGCAGTGAGTGTAGCGCAGCAAACGCCAACCAAAAGACCTCGTCGGCTCGCTCGCAAACCACGGAGAGGAAGTCCTTGCTGACCTGCAAAGCAGCCGCAACGCCAGCGCTGCTGAGAAAGGCTCAAGGCGGTCGTGCAGAGACGTGCTCTGCTTTGATTTAGTGGCCGCGGATTGAGAGTTGAGGGCACAACTCCGAATTTCAACATAGCTGGCTCAAAGCGCAAAATGTGGGCCGGTCTGAGCTTCCGGCATTGGAGAAAGCACGGCTCTTGTGCAGGTGCTCCTTGCACGCCGGCACTAACGACCCACTTGCCGTTCACATGTGTCACTCCTGTAGATCCAGTGCGCTCTTGCTGGGCTCGCTCTGTTCCGGGTTCGCGGAAGACATGTGGCTGTACCTCTGCCATCCATGAGACGGAAACTGCTGAAAGCATGTCTGGGCATTCCAGGTAAATGGACGACACCCCAGCAGAGGGCACAGCTCCACATGCGAAGGGAATTCCTCCAGTACCTGCAGGTCTTTTGCGGCTCTTAGCGGGCGCCCGGGTTTGCACTGCGCAGCCAGGCCTGCCGGAAGACCGCTCGAGTAAGAGCGAGCGCGATGCAGCGCGTCACGGCGCGGATCCGGTTGGGGTAGGTGCCTATATGGCTCTGAGAATACATGAGATTTTTCATAAAACTGCTGCCTCTCCTCACAGCATTGCACTACTCTTACGGAATCTGCTGGCAAAGCAGCGCGCCACGCCCAGCAGCACAGATTCCTCGGTGGCCAGGGGCAAGCACCGAAATGGGGATCTGAACAGCGCCGCCTTCCTTTTGGCCTTGATCTCAAACCTTTATAGCCTGCTTCGGCCTTTCTGATGATGCAACGTGAGGGAGCCTTGCATCCTTCTTGCGGCAGGGGCTCTCCGATGACACTGCCAGATTTCAGCCTCGGGACAGGCTTGGACGGTTAAGGCCAGTTTGCACGAAACGTCTTTATGAATTAGTTGGAAGAACAAGGACCACAACCATAAGAGATTCTTGCTGGCATCAAGACATACTAAACTCATGATATGGTACTTTTTTATTGAAAAGCCATGCAGACGAGCAAGCTCATTGTCATACTGCACACGCGAGTATAAGCAGCCCTTTACGTGTGTGATGCGGGCGGAATGCATCGTGCTCGACTACAGGCGTATTGGAATTCAATGCCAGAAGCTCCTATAAGTCCTGCATTGCAAGTCGTGCACATAACCCCTAAACCCTAAAAAAAAGCCTTTATAGAACCCTTGAAACGAACCCTTTAAGGAGCCCAGAACCCCCACTTATAACTACCCATGAACCTCCAAGTACCATATCAATCGCTAGACTCTCCGAGGACCCGGCCGAAGCGCCCGACCGCGGCAGGTGCCATCGCCCTCGTTCTCAGCCTCGCCCTCCACGAGCACAAACCTCAGAAGAAAAGAAGAAGGTGTGCAGGGAAGGTATACAGTTTGGGTTTTGGAAAAAGGCGTCTCGGGTTGACCCTAACCTGGGGGGTTAGGGTGAGGCTACAAAATAGAGCTTCGGCTTGGCTCACAGGGAAACAATCAGAACTGCCACAGGCCGGGTCTCGCCAAAGCAGCTCTCTGAGCGGCTCAAGTCTGGTCCGAGATGCATGGTTTCCCCTTCTTGTCCCACATCCTTAGCACTCAAACTCATGTCTCAAGTCCGCCGCCTCACGTCCCAACTTCAAACGCGCCACTTGTCAGCTATCTTAGCTAGGTTATATGAATGAATTATACTAGCTATATTAGTAGTTATCTTTAACTTCTCTTTCCTGTCTTTGCCTGCCGAGGCCGCCACTGTGAGCATCATCCCCGGCTCGTAGATCCGCGCATCAATCCGCTTCCGAAGCTGGTCCGCGAACTCGTCCGCGGCGACCTCCAACGAAGCAGGAAATGAACCCAAGACAGCTTCGGCTTCTGCGCATCCTCCAATAAAAGGACCAAAATTGACGCATGGCGAATGACAGTTCCACACAGTCTGTGCCTGCCTGGATCACCGTAGAGAGGACCAACGCTCCACCCAAGTCGCCTGCACTCTGCCGGGAGCGAAGTGGAGCGAAGCGGCACAGAGTCACGGTTTCCGGTGACTTCACAGCGCGGGGACTGCAGCGTTTCTTTCGGCACCATGTTGGACGTAAGTGGAGCAGCCCTTTGTGTTGGGTCCCTGGCATTTCTGTCTCTGGATCTGCAAAATCAGCAAAACCTTGTGCAGATACGAAAGAATGCCATGAGCCCATGTCCTTCTAACATCCCGGTGACACACGCTGGTGTTTTCGTGTGGGTATAAAAACGGATTTTTTGGCGAGTGTGAGGCGCGCGAGCAGCGCACGGGACCGCTCCGTTTGGCAGTCGTTTCGCTGTGGCGCAACTTTTTCGACTCAAGCCGCACAGTCTCACACAGTCTTTCCAGAGCTCCCGAAACCCAAAATTCACTTGTCGCCTTCAAAGCGCTCGAAGTCGCGCAAAGTCCAAGCAGAGCCACATCGCTGGGCTGCAATTGGGGTGGCTGGGGGCCATACACCGGAATGCGGCCTGGAGTGACTCTTGCCGGCCTATGTTTCAACAACCAGTCCTACAACAAGCCACCTGCCATTGTAATAGTACCAAAGGACCCCTCTCTCCTTCCTTGGCTCCTGCGACCGACGATATGCGGGGCGCACCGAAACCGAAACCCGTGCATTCCGGTCGCCTCGCTGGAAGCCCATCGTTTGCTCAGCTTTCCGGGCGATCTCGTTGACGATGCGCTGCATGATGAAGTCCCTCTCGTTTGGGCACTCCTGAGCACAGCTTCGAGAGCAGACGGCAAGCGGGAGCCCTCCCCGTGCGGATAAGAAAAGAAAAGCTTGGGGGCTTTGGGGAAATTGGGGCTTCAAGAAGAGACGAGGAGCTGACACGACCCTGTCGAAGATCTCCGCGGTCCTGAGAAAGGGGCCCTCCGGGCTGTCCAATTGCGCCCGCAAAAAAAAAGCTGATGATCTTTTACCCACATCCCCCGGCCGGGTGGCATGATCTGGACCTCACAGTTTCCCTGTGGCTGCAGTTTGCCCTCCAGGGGCGGAAGCCCGAAAAGAAGCTGCTCGTTGAAGCAGGTGCCTCGGCTGTTAAAAAATCGCAACGAAGAGTTCAGAGGACCCGTGGTGGCACTGCTCTGCTGTCTGGCAGCCCTCTACGAAGACCAGCTCGCCCTTGTCCGGAGTGATCATCCGAATCCTTGGGAAGACCCACTCACAGGAGCGAAGCAGGGCTGAACAGTACCCGAAGCGGTGGAACCTTGGAGATGGGACTTCGGATTTCGATCGCCGCCAGGCTGGAATCAGTGTACATCGAGGCTGCTACAACAGTATAGCAAATCGAGACTGTGTGACTGACCTACAGAGTCGACCAGGTGGAGGTAGAAGAAGCGGAGGAGGAAGAGGAGGAAGAGCCGCAAATGGGCAGCTCAAGTCCATGGCATGAACTCGCCACTAGCGGCCCTGTCGATGACGACCCCATGTCTCCGTTGCCAGAAGTATATATTATATTATGTTATATATACATATATATTATATTATATTATATTATATTATATTATATTATATTATGAAGGTTATTCCGGTCATTGCCGTAAGTGCTGCCAACACCTGCATGACCATCATTGGTCTTGCTTCAGCACACCTGATGTTTCTCTTTTTGCTTCTGCTGCTCGTACTACGGAGAATAGGATCGTCGTGGGCACAGCGGTTGTAGGTGTCTGCGCGGCTACTCGTGCACGGGGGTTGTAGCTGTCTTCAGAGTTCGACTATCTCCAGTTTTTTTCCGAGGGGCTCTCCTCTTAGGACCAGGATGGCTGCCTGCTCTGGCAGCTGCTCCCCATTGAAGGTGGACCAGAGCCCCTTGGCGGTGATGTGCTTCCTTCCAGGCGAAGTCGAAGTGAGGAAATTTGCCGAATGGAGAAGCTGCATAGCGATGATAAAGGGCTTACAGCTCGCGATACCGCCTTGGAGCCCTAGGTCTAGAGGCGTGGAATCGAACACGGCAACGAACAGCCCTCTTCCCCAGGAAGTGGCCTCGCATAGAGGTTGATCAACGAAAGCAGTTTGGGCGAAGCGCCGACGAATAAGGGCCACTGCGTGCCTGATGTCTCAGGCGATGAAAATGAGCATCACGAGCTGATGCAATTGAGTTTGCTTCGAACCCGCACCGACCGAGGGGCTCGAGACCACGACGCCATGTTGACGTCCGATCTTCTGGAAGTGCTCTTGTTCCTTCAACCGACCAAAGTGGTGCACGCAAGCCGCCCGCAAACACCCAGCCCCTTGACCCCCTCAAGTGCCTCCGGGTGATCCTCCAAAGCTGCAATAAAGGCCGCCCTGGGCATCTCCAGGACGATGCAAATCTCCTGACCGAAAGGCAAAAGCCAGCTTCAATGGGTCAAGGACACGAAGATGATGGCTGTGCACATTAATGGCACCAGACAGCATCAATATACTACGCTGGCAAGACAGTCGAGAAAGGCTAAAATCACTACGGTCCACGTCGTCATCATCATCATCATCATCATCACCATGAACCATCACCACCGCCAGCCGTCATCATGACCACCATCGTCATCATCGTCATTGTACGATTTCGCAGAAAACCTAACAGCCGCAGAGTGGCAGCAGCACTCTCCGCAGAGCCAGAGCAAAGCAACAACACAGACTCCCGGCCTTTGCGCGGACCACGGCACTCCGTCGCTTCACGAAGCCCAGAATGGTTAGCTCCCCAAAGCTGTCTCCCGCATGGACCTAGGATTTTGAGGTTCAGGGAGGGACGGGATTGTAGAAAGAGGACTTGGGGCTTGGCTGAACGCGGAGTTTGGGGAGCCAAAGCTTAAAGAAACAACGACGCAGCTGCGACGGCAACACGAAGACGAAGCAGGCAAGCGGTGCAAATGTTTGAAGACAGAGATGTCGTTTCCATGTTGACGTGAACAAACCTCAGGAAGCGCTTTGGAGGACACTGTTCGCTTGGGCATTTCTTGGACGAATGTGGAAAACTGTTTCGCTGGGTTGTAGTTTTGGGGCCCTTAAAAGTATNNATAGGTACCTCTACAGTAACCATAAAGGGAAATTAAAAAGTTTCCCGAAGTGCCACCTAGTTCGGCACTTTGTGGCTCCTTGCCATGTTTTCTTACCAGCTGCGCTGGCTATTTGTCGTTCGAATGACAGGGATGAGAAAACGTCGCAACTACCGTGGTTGTTTACGTCTGACGTTCGGTGCATGCAGTCCGGCAACTGGTACAGTAAAGAGCAAGGCAGCAAAGAAAGAGCTCAAAACAAAGTGCACAACAGAAATCATGACAGGCAGAGATGTCATCATTGAATCATCCCGCACCCCCCCCCCCCCCCCCCCC